TTGGGGGTTCCTTATTATAGTCAAAAGCCTATTCTGGTTCTTAAGGCACCCCACATTACCTGGTTGAGGGTGAGGAGACGGCTTCATGGCAGGTGAAGCTCGTACGAAGGTTCTCCGCAGCTGAGGTATGCTTTACGGTTTGGGGATTTCTGAAAAAACATGGTATAAATAGGTTCCTGCCATCACAGATGATAGCTTTGACAGTCATCTTCCGAGTACCACTGTTGAGGCTGCTAAAGGAACCTCGAAGCCACCAAGAGCTCTCACTTCACGCCTCGCTGACCCTAAACCCTACACCCGGGGCCTAAACCCTAAACCCCAAACCCTAAACCCTACACCCCAAACTTTAAATACCGAGTCCTCGATCTCGTCATCGTCCAAGTCGATCACCATCGGTCGGATGGCCATGGCTGCAACATATGGGAGTTTCCGAAAATAGGGGACCCTAATACAGCACCCTAAATAGTAGGAGCCTTGTTATAAGGACCCCAAAATTAGGTACCCCTAGTTTTCGGAAACCCCCATATGTAGTTACCCTTCAGGGTTTGTGAGTTCAGGGCTTCTGAACTTGGGGCCCATGGCTCGACGCTTAGCTAAGTGGATCTTAAACCTGACCTATACTGAGCTTAGAACCCTAGGCAAAAAAATGTAATTTTAGCTGTTTCTCAGGGATCCTAATAACCAAATATCTTAGGGATTCTAATAACCAAAAATCAAAAATTATCTCTAATTGACAGCCTGGGTCAGCTGGGGGGGGGGCGGGGGATTTTCGGGATTTCGGTCAGGTTCGAGGCTTCCGAGTCCATCGCGATTGCGTTGCAGGTGACCCGATTCTGCAACATGCTTAGGGTTTAGGGTTTAGGGTTTAGGGTTTAGGGTTTAGGGTTTAGGGTTTAGGGTTTAGGGTTTAGGGTTTAGGGTTTAGGGTTTAGGGTTTAGGGTTCTGGTGATCAGGGCCGATAAGGGTCTTTTTTTGAGAGCTCTTTTCCGTCTGCAAATGCGTCCGAAATTCCAACTCTGATAAGGGTCTCGGGTTAAGGGTTTAGGGATCAAGTTCGCTGTCATCCATATGCCCTTGAGCTGGCTTGCTATGCGACGGATCCTGGTACGGACTTCCATGCTGAATAGCCCTCATGCCTCTGCCGAACGAAACTAGGATACCCAGTAACCTAAGAATAAAAAGGCCTCTCTTTTTGGTATTGGGTAACTTTATAAGGAACCTAGGACTACAAAAAGGGAATAAGGGTACTACTGGGCATCCTAGCCTCATGCCTCTGCCGAACGAAAGCAATGCCAGCATCTCCCAGACTCCTAGGGAACCCTAAACCCTCAACCCCTAAAACCCCCTAAGGCCTGAAGCCCCGAAAACCGAAACCCTTTAAGCCCCCAAACTCTGAGCCATGCTAAAATACAAAAAACGAAGATTTCGATGCTCTACTTGGAGGGTCGAGAGACGTAGCAAGTATTTATGTTATGGAGTTGTAAGTACCATAAGCCTAATTAGGATCCCTTTTAGGGTATGCTTGCGACCTACCTACTAAATCCCCCGACCCTCCAAGCAAGCCCCAAATAACAAACCTGGATACCACGAGCCTTGACAAGCTAAGGCTACAAATTCAAGCCCTGAAACGAGGCCCTTAGGCGAGAGGATTCTCTCATGCCCCAAATCGTTAGTTCTTCAGAACCCGTGGGCAGGGATTGAGTTTTTTCATAATACGGGTTCTGCTAGGGTTTCGGGTTTAGGGTATCTCAATGCCACGCCTAAAACCTCAACCCCAACTCCGTTGCTAAGAGTCGGCTCTTACCATGAAGGGAGTTGTCTGTCTGGTTCTTAGTAGGGAATGGAGGAATGGATTATGGAGACTACTATAGGGGATTATATAGGGACTACTATAGAAATCCATTCCCCCATTCGCTGCTAAGCACCAGACAGGTCGTTGTTGCTTTTGTTCGCGTAGCTGCAACCACACTGTTGATGGCCATCTTTACTGATGGGTCACTTTTGGGTTCGGATTGAACCCTAAACCCTAAACCCCTAAAGCCTAAAGTCCAAACTCTAAACCCTAAAGCCTAAACCCTGAAGCCTGCAGCCTAGGTCCTGCTTGTCTCTTCAGCCCGGTTTCCGTCAGGGTTTCGGGGTTTTAGGTCCAGGGATTCATGGTTTGGAGGTCTACATGGAGGGTCATGGGACTTAGTAAGGGTCCTTAAAAGGGCTCCTTAAAGGGATCTATAGGGTTCCTTAAAGGGATCTACACGGTTTAGGGTTGGGGTCTACATGGAGGATCATGGGACTTAGTAAGGTTATAAGTACCTTAATTGGGGTTATAGGTAGTTGTAAGTAGAGTTCCCCTAATTATAAATCCTAGTTACTAAGTCCCATGATCCTTTAAGTAGGGAATGGTTGAGGTTAAGGTGTTTCCAGATTCCTGGTTTCGGGGCGTGAGGTGCAGGGTCCAGCACTAATCCAGCAAAAGATCAGCACAAGAGGTGGACCCTTGCAAGCCCTGAATGCCCCAAGCCACTTGCCTCACAAACCCATGCCCCCAACCCTAAACCCTAAACCCTAAACCCTAAACCCTAAACCGTATCATCCCCAAACCTTGTGGCCAGACATCCCCAGACCTGTTAAACCGTATGAAACTTGCAGCTATGCCAGGCCATAGAGCCCCCGAAAACACCAAGGGGTCCTTGAACCACGTGACAGGGTTTAGGGTTTAGGGTTTAGGGTTTAGGGTTTAGGGTACATCTTAAGCTAATGTTAGATGAATCTGAACCACTTGCACACCCCGTGCGCGAAACCCTTGTGACACGCTCCGAAAGAAATTACAAACAACTGCGCAGAACGCATCATGGGGCCACTTGCATAGCCGTAGAAGGCTTTTTCTGCTTCTGTCAGCGCTGCGGGAGACCCCTGAGCTGGTTGACATCCAGTAGCCAACAGCTCAGACGTCAGGGGATCTAAAGAAAAACGTGGGGCTGGGAGGCTTGAAGCTTTTACCTTGCACCACCGAAGCCCCAAAGTCCCTAAACCCTAAACCCTAAACCCTAAACCCTAAACCCTAAACCCTAAACCCCTAAACCCTAAACCCTAAACCCTAAACCCCTAAACCCACCCTAAACTTCGAAACCCCTAAACCCTACACCCCAAGCCTCGATCCCTAGACCAAAAGCACCTCATCCGGCTCTGGGACGTTGAATCCTGAGAGCGTCACATGGCCGTGTGGACCGCTCCAGACGAGCCTGGCTGGTAGGGTTTGGGATTTAGGGTTTAGGGTTGAGGGGTTTAGGTGTTCAGGGGTTTAGGGTTTAGGGTTCGGGTGGGTTTTAAGGTTTAGGGTTTAGGGGTTTCGGGTTTAGGAGTTTAGGGTTTAAGGTTAGGGTGCGTTTCGGGTGTAGGGTTTGGCTCCATGGTCTAAGCTTTTGGGGGATGCTGAATGACAAACATGTCCGAATCGAGCTGCAGGGCATTCAGGGCTTAGGCTTCGTGAGGACTTGCGATCGAGGGCAGTGGCCAGATTTCTTGTTTGGGTTCCTGGCCTGGCTCTCAAGACATAGGGGCCTGTCGAGAGCTCCTGAGGGCAAATTGGACTTCTTCCGGCGATCTAAAGCAAGGTCGGTTTTTCGCCACTGCACACCTCCTCAAGCCGTGCAAGATGTTGCAGCTTTACCCGGAATCCCTAAACGCTACACCCCCAGACCCCAGAACCCCTAAAACCGTATGAAGTAGCATCCCCTCCCTCCTTCACCCTAAATCCACTCTGCCTTTTCAGCCGAAGCTGTTGGGTTCTCCGAGCAGGACTTTGAGGTTTACTGTTTACTGCGACACGAACATTGGGGCCTCGGGTTCAGGGTTGAGGTTGGGGTTTAGAGGTTATGGCTCAAGGGTCTACTACAGGGTCCTTGATAATTTCCTAAGTGATTTGGGGGTTCGCTTTTATTATTACAGTATAATGGGCCCCAAAACCTTTTCTGATTATTAAGGCCCCTATATTTGAGCGCTTCGGGCGCCAACGTGTCACGAAGGAGATGAGCTTGCGGCTGCCACCCCCTCCCAACTCGACGTCACCACCACACCCCGACCGGTTTAGGGTTTAGGGTCTCAAAACTCCAGAACCCAGCACTTCCAGTACCGACACTACCACGACGAACAACCACTTCAGTCGCACCGCGCATCATGATCACTTTGGCGCCCCCCACGAAGGGACTCCCAGCAGCTAAGCCCTGGGTATCAAAACCTCCGAAAACCCAAGCGCCCGCTCCCCCCTCGAGCCTTTTCGACTCCCCCGGCAGCAAGTTGAAGTAGTCCACGCTCCACCAGACCGGCAGAATCTGGGGATTTGGAAGTTTCCGAAAATGAGGGGTACCTCATTTTGGTGTCCTCATAATAAGGATCCTACCATGGGGGGTACTATATTAGGGTCCCCGAATTTCGGAACCTCCCATTTCGGGATTTAGGGTTTAGAGTTTGGGGGTTTTGTGCTTCGGGCTTCCACGCACCACCAAACCCGGCAGAATCTGCGGAGGCTCTCGGGACCTCATAAACTCGAATCAGCACTCCGGGTCGAAGGCTTTTGGGGGGCCAACTCTATTCTAAAATACTGCCTATGCAAAACTATGCTATGCTAGACTACACTATACTCTACTATACTCTACTATACTAGACTATACTGTACTCTATACCGCACTTTCCTACACTATACTACACTATGTTACAGTATGCTCGTCACCTAGCATGGCCACGGATGTCCTGATTGAAAGCCTTGAAGGATGCCGAAGAAGCTTCTTTCGTTAAGGAGGACGGTACGGTTTCGGGCTTAAGGTTTAGGGCTTGTGCTTAGGGTCTAGGGCTTCGGGCTTGGGGTTTAGGGCTTACGGCTTTAGGGTTTAGGGTTTAGGGTTTAGCGGTCAGGGTATAGAGTTAAAGGAAGACACTCCTACGCAGAATGGATACACTTTCACACATGCCAACACGCAAGACAGCAGGAAGAACAAGCCGAACCTTAATCCCTAAACCCGTTTGCTCCATGAGGTCTTAGGACTCGGAGTTGGCCCACCTCTGAAGTGCCTCTCCACAAACGAGGGTGCACCAGAAGAGCCGTCCAGGCGCCAGTATTAGTGATGTTTGCCTCGGTGCCTTCTTGGACGATGTCCAGGCGAGTGGGGGTCGGCGCGAGGTTTCGGTAGTCCATGCCTGGGCTTTTTGTTAAGGGATTTAACTTAACTCATACACCATGATAGAGATCTACAGTAAATGACATGGTTTCCTCCTTATGGTAGCTCAAACTAAATCCCTTAACAAGAACCCAGATGCCAGGAAGCAAGGCCTCCTTGTTGCAAGGGTCAGAGAGTAAGTGCTCCAGCACGTTGCCGTTGTGATGCATTCGGAGTAGCAATGTGCCTTCTCGTCTGGGCCATGTCAGCTGCCCGAGCAGTGCCACGCCCTCCGGATCAAGGCTCGAGGCGTGAAAGAGCTTCCTAGACAGCATCTCCCCTTTGGGCAAGGAGAAGAAGCTCACAAGCACCTCTGTCTCTGAGACCTCCTTCATCGCCCGGTTCACTCGGTAGAGCTGCGCGGAGTTTCCGGCACAAGGCCTTAAGGACACCAGCACATGATCCAAATACCGAAGGGCAGCGCCCATCCCTTCGAGCGCGCTGTTCGCCTCAAGGTGCCAGTCATAGAGGAATCCCCGCAGGGATGGCCAAGGGGACTGTCCCTTCCAAAGGAGAAGTCCGGCATACCAGGACCACTGATGCCTCAAGTAGCCCTCAAACAAGGACCGGTACTGGACGTACTGAACCACGCTAGCTCGCTGGGCATAGGTCTTCTGATCCATGGCACTTCCTGGCCAAAGGTCGTACATGGGATCCACCAAAGAGCCGGATTCCGACATCGTAGAGACGTTCACCACGAAGGCCTCGAAGTTGTGCCAAGCGAACTCCTAGGTTGGCCCTTTAAAGCCTCTGAAAAATATTCGTAAATAGGGTCCTAATAAGCCCAATAAGGGAAAATACAAAATTATCCCAAAGGCCTACCTAGACTCAGCAGGCACATTGTGGCCCAGTCGACCAGGAACCTGCTGGGTGCGGATGAAACGGCGGAGGCCCGCGTAGGTGGGGAAATTCGGTCCCCCCAGCTCTGGATTGATGGAGAGGGGAAAGGGCTGCAAGCCAGTGCGATTTGGGTAGAACTGGTACCGCAGGTAAGGGTTCCGCTCGAAGAACTCACCGGGGACTTGGGAACCGTAGGGCCCATCATCCACGGACAGCGCGGCTGTGACGTTGTTCGGGTCGTAGGACTGCATCTGTTGCAGGAGGGAGGACGTCTGAATGTAGGGGCGCGAGCCATCCAGCACCTGCTATAGGGCAGAGCATATGCAGCTTTGTTCTCAAGCAGAAGGTCCAAGACCCTAAAACGATGGGATTTTGAACACCTGACACCAAAACAGGAACTACACAACTCGAACTCGCTCAAATCGGACAAGAAGCTTCCACAAGATGCCTTTCAGCGCGGCTGATGTCTACGGGAGGGCTCCCGTCAGAGGGCCAAAGCTCGTTGCCGCCACCCCACCAGAAGAGGCTCGGGTGACCCCGTAGCAAGAGCACTGTGTCTTTTACATTGTCAAGGAAGACCTGAACGAATTAGATACTCTGCTTGGGGATTTTTGGCTTTAGAGTTTAGATGGGTTTAGGAGGCTCTCCCTATTTGGAGTGTACAGTTTAGTTTTGGTTCCGACTTGCGAGCTCATGACAACATGGCGGGTTTTACCTTGTTCAAAGCACTGGCGCAAATACCTTGAAGAGCGAACAACACACCGTTGATATCAGACTGACTCTCTCTCTCTCTCTCTCTCTCTCTCTATATATATATAGATATATATATATATATATATATATACAGGTATACATACATACATACATACATGTCACATACCATGTATCAAAGACATGTGTACACATGTCTGGAGTTTACATATACATATGTATACGTACATGTACACGTACATGTACATGTACAGGTAAGTTTATATGTATTTGTATTTGCGGATGTACATGTAGATGCAGATGTATGTGTACGTGTGTGTGTGTACGTAGTAGATACACATGCACATATACCATGCATGAAAAACATAAAACCACGCATACCATGTGCACATACATACGTGTATATATAAATATACCACATGTTTGTTCATACATGTGTTATACATCATAAATCATATAACATTTGTCCTATAAAATGTCTCATATATCATACATCACATGTGTATATGAACAGTATACACACGTCGTATTTTGTATAGAGAGCTATACAGAGAAGGCAGCTGTAACATACATATATATATATATATATATATATATATACAGATGCCAAATACGTAACATATAGAGAACACACAATGCAAACATATCCACCATGTATGTATGTCTGCATGGGTGCATGCATGTATATGTGCAAACATGCATGCATGCATGGAAGCAGGCAGGCACGGATGGATTCATGGACGGAAAGATGGGTGGATGGAAGGCTGGCTGGCTGTCTGGATGGATGGATGGATATGTGTTATGTATCTAACAGTCTAACATACATACATACATACATACATACATACATACATACGTACATACGTACGTACATACATACATACACACACATATACACGTACATACACGTACATACTAACATATTACGGAAAGCCCGAAGTGTTAGCAGAAACTGTACAGTAGCCTTCTTATGACCTTCCGTAACCGGAAGATCCTACTCAGAACCTTTTGCAGCGGAGACCTTGTGGTCCAAAGGCCACGAGAAGCTGCCGGCTTGTGCTCCATTGTTATCCCCGGTCATCCAGAACTCTTGGTACACCAGCATTCCCAAACGGTCACAAGCCTGATGTTCGGGCGTGGTGCTTGCGGTTAAGGCCGGGTTTGTGGCTTGGCATGTGGGGTATGGGCTTTGGGATAGGTCACAAGCCTGGTAGAACTCGGGTCTCTCAGCGATGCCACCGCCCCAAACGCGAATCACATTTGCCCCGGCCGTCCGCATGAGGCGAACCTCATTCTCGTACCGCTCTGCGTCGGTGGAGAAGCGGAGCATCTGATCCGTCGTAATCCAGTTCACCCCAGCCAGAAAAATACGCATCCCGTTGATCCGGAAGGCCGGACCGTTCGTTCGCCGCTCGTAGTAAACCTCCGAGTGCCGGATGCCAAAGAACTGACGCAGGACAGTACGACTTCCGGCATCCTCCGCCGGGATCTCCACCTCGTACATGTACTGCTCGCCGAGCTGCCATGGCCACCACAAGCGAGCAGAACGCAGCGTCGCCGAGCTGCCTTCTTGAAGGATCATGGGACTTAGTAACTAGGGTTATGGTTAGGGGTAACTCTACTTCTAACCACTTTTTACGCCAATTAAAGTACATATAGCCTTACTTACTAAGTCCCATGATCTTCCAAGTAGCCGAGCTGCCTTGGCAGCCAGGGACGGCCAAGAGGCCCTCGACATCCAAAGAGCGATCGGAGTGGTGACGAACTCTCCTTGCTTGGCCCTTCAAAGCCTCTGAATAAAGAGGTCGTAAATAACCCTAAGGGTCCATGTACTCAAATAGTATACACATTGGGCCCAATGTACCCATATAAAAAGTACTTTAAGACCAATGTATATACTATTTAGGTACATAGACCCTTAAGGCAAGACCCTCTAAGCTCTAAATGACCAATAATAAGGGAAACTGTAAAAATGTGCCCCAAAGGCCTATAATATTCCCAATAAGCCCTTATAGTACTTAATAGTCCCAATTGACCCTTATAGTACTTAATCTTCCCAATAAAGCCCTTATGGTACTTAATACTACCTAGCCTCCATTTCAGCCCACAGGGGCCCTGTTGGGCCTCCACGGCCAGGACTGCATTGTAGTCCTGGCCCTCTCCACGCTGCAACGTCGTTCGGACGTAGAGGTCTTCCACCAGAGGGGTACTATAAGAGATGAGCTCTACCTTGTCCCACAAGCCCGTGTTCCTATCCGGGGTCGCCTGTATCCAATCCCAGCCCAGAGCAAACTGTGCCAAGGGCCCATCCTTAGCAAGTTGATGGTCTCCACCCTGGCCGCTGACATTCACACCAAAGTGCGGGGGAGGTGAGGTTTCGATCTCCAGATCGAAGCCTTCTGTAGGAACAGGAATCTTGAGACGGCGAAACATGCCAGTGACGTTGCCACGCTCCTCGCCATTCACCCACACGCGCGTAGTGTAGCTTGCTGCTCTGAGAACGAGCCTCCTTTGAGTTTCCGAAAAGAGGGGACCGTACGTAGTATAGTATCCTAAATACTAGGATCCTTATTACAAAAAGACCCGAAAATAAGGTATCCCTAAGTTTTGGAAACTCCCTACCATAATCCCTATTATAGAACCCTTGTAGATCCCTTATAGTAACCCTTTAAAGGGACCCTGAGGTACCCCCAATTTTCGGAAACTCCCTCCTCCAAAGATGACCACACGAAGCAGAAGGAACCCTGGTACGGTAGCGGACGGTGTAGTAGGAAGCTCCGACCTGAGCATCTACAAAAATGGGGGGAGGGGGTACTGTATAACAAGGATCCTGGTATTTGGGGTACTATTTTAGGGTTTAGGGTTTAGGGTTCTGGGGGGGCTACCGTATAACAAGGATCCTGGTATTTAGGGCACTATTTTAGGGTTTAGGGTTTAGGGTTTCAATGGGGGGGGTTACCGTATAATAAGGATCCTGGTATTTAGGGTACTACGGTTGATGATATAAATCCTGCATTACCCATAATAAGGAGTATACCATAATTCTCATAGTTTAGGGTCCTTAAGGTAATGCAGGGTTTATATCATCAACCGTATATTCGGGTCCCCTAGTTTCGGAGACTCCCACCTGATGTATGTCTGGCAGCTGCTGCAAGTTCGTAGCCAGATAGGGATCCAAATTAGAGAAGTTCGACTCGAGCATGCTTGCCAGAACGGTCCCCGGCACCCTTGCAGGCACCCCCTGTCTCCTGTCCTCACAACCACCATACTGGAGAGCCGGCCAGCATAAAGTCCAGGCTTGCTGCACTGAGCCTAAGTCCCGAAACTGCGTCTCCTGGCAGGAGAAGCCACAGACGTACTCGAGTGCCAAAGAGAGGAGGCAAGACCTCCAAACCACAAAAGCCATCTTCAAGGATCCACGGTCAGGGCTTCAGGGACAAGCCTTTACGGTGTCGGATGTTCGGCTAGAGGTACTCTTGCTGCTCCAGCAGACGGACGTATGAAAGCCACTGCACAACCATACCCTGCTGAGCCAACAACTCACGAACGGTTGCACAAGGCAAGATCAGTGCAGGATAGCACAAGCAAACTGACTCCGCCACAATTACTCCTTGTTGTCCCAAGAGCCTACTCTGGTGGCTGTGTCTACGCCTCGTATCAATGTCATCTCCGACTTCTGTGACAACATCGCGACAGTCAGAAATGATTGCTGAGACAACCTTGAAGTTCGACTACACAAACTCGTTCTGAAAGGATGCTCTCTCACGTCTCACCTCACGCTCCCCCACTTAGTTGCTGAGTTCACAAGCCCATATATACGCCTCAAAAAGCGTACACTTTCAGCTTCATTACGGGTAGTATTTTCCCAAAAAGTGTGAAGTGTATCCACTCAGCTACTAAGCCCAAGTTCTTTTTCGCTCAGAGCAGGCTTGAAGTCGGATTGGCCCGTGGCCACAGCGGGAAGGCAACCGAGTGCGGACGTTAGCGAAACGCGGCTTCGCGCCGCGGCCGTACGTTCCTTCGAGGCTTGAGACCTTCGATAGATTGTGGGACGCCAGGCCGTCGCGAAGAGAAGGGCACGCTAGAGCTTCGGTAACCCGATGAGTCACTAGTTCGCGCTCGCACGCATGCAGGCCGGCCCAGCCGGCCTGTAGACATTAACCAGCGTCTGTGCCGCCGAATCTTTGAGCAGGACACAGATGCAGCAGCGAGTCTTGAAGGGACCCGACCCAAGAACGTGACACAGAAGGATCCTAAACCCCCAACCCGAGACCCTATCAAACCCTCAACCCTAAACGAGCACAACATGGAAGCCCTAAACCCTAAAACCTAACCCCTAAACCCCTAGAACCAAAGCCTGGAGCCGAAGCTACGAGTACACTCCGACACCGGGTCGTGGAGCTCTCTGCGGAGCTTGGCTCGGAGCTTTGTGGTTTTGGGGTTTAGGATTTCAGGATCCAGGATTTAGGGTTTAAGGTTCAGGGTTTGGGGAAACCCTGGGCCTAGGACCCCCAGAGTAGTAGGATTCCTCTAAGGAGCTCTAAGAAAGACCCCAGGTTTCTGAATCAGGTTCCTACAGTAGGTTTTTGGGAAGCCCTTGGCAGACTTGACGAATGAGTATCTGGAGTCAGCTAAAGGCTCAGGGATTCCAGAGGGAGTATCTGGAGTCAGTTTAAGGCCTAGGGCTTAGGGATTGTAGAGATTTTCAACAAAGCTGGTGTCAGGATTTGGTTCTTTGGCGATCAAGAATGATAGATGTCATAGGTTTATCGGGAAGTCCGATTGCTACACTCAGTCGCAACATCCAGGATGTGTGGACGTCGGAGCCGGCGTCGGCACTTGCGTCGCGGCTGGCGCTTCCGCTCTTCGCGCAGGGGGAGACGTGCGGCAGGAAAGCGCAGAGCAGGCGGGAAACCTTGCAACACAGGATGTCGGTGCAGGCAGGGAACTATTTGGGGGCAACTTTCCTTAGAATCTGAAGAGATCTTCGCACACATGGGCCATTATCTCTGGCCGAGCTTGCTGCAACATCACGGCCACACGGTCATCGAGATTTTGCGTGCAGACGCATAGAAGCTCTGGTTCGCAGGCCTGTTCTTTGATGGTCGTTCTTGCTTAGACATTCAACATTGAAATTGTCGACTGTCACCCTAAGACAAGACCTTACAAGACCTTCTGTGCATCAAAGCTTCGCGGGAACGACTCGGCCATCGGGGTATCCATGCTGCAGAAGCAATGGGGACTGCTTAAGACTTACGCTCCTTGCCAGGTAACTTAAAAGCTTTGTGGGTGAAGACTTCAGCGAGCACCCCTTGCGCAGCGGCCGCAGCTGAGCCACCCGTATCTGCGAGGTTCGCGCGCCCGCCGCGGCGAACGAAAAGGCGGTCTCAACAGGCGGAGTTCCGTGAGCACGTGCTGGGGGAGCTTAACACTCCTACACTGCCCCTTGAGTCGGCTGGGCCTGCAACCAGGCCACACAGAGGCCCAACTTCAGGCTTCGGGGGTGCAGGAATTAAGATCGGATTTAGGCCTGGCATTCAACGGAGAAGCCTCCCAAGCCAGCTTCGAAACTGCAGGGGCCGCACGGCCTCGAAGTCTAAGCGACACATCAGGCTACTCCACGTCCAAGCTTCAAGCTCCAAGAAAGCGCGTTGAAAGGCCGCTTGAAGAGCCAAGGAGGGGCGACCCCTTGCCGTCCGGAAAACTCTGAAGACCCTTGGTGCTACTGAAACAAAGCCTGCAGCTTCTCTGAAACACCAACCCTGCGACCCGACTTTTCCAGAGGGAGACGACCTGCAAGCTTCAAGCTCAACAGCACGGAAGGCTGCACCCAGGGTTGCAGACCTCTGACTCGGCTACCCAGGAGGCGCTGAAGCTGCTTCGGGCTCGACCTCATCTGCAAGTTGAGGTCGGGCTCAGGCCTTCGTGGACTTCAGAAGCGAGTTGAGAAGACACCGGCGAAGGAAAGGCAGGGTATGCTTGGCACATGCGGGGTTGCCAAGTCCTGAGATCGCGGTTCCGCAGGCTGCGTCAAGACTACTGCTGGTCGTCCATCTGGCATCGCCCAACCTCGGGCTTCCAACTCAAGAGCTGCGACCACACTGGAGGAGTGGCCGCGAAGGCTGCTTTTGCAATAGCCCTCCAAAGGGCCAAGCGACGCATGCGGCGCCAACATGGACGGGTCGTAATGCGGCAGTCACCCCCTACATCCGCTTGAGAAGGCCCTGCAACGGGCAAAGTGTCGATTGTCAGTGAGACAATGCTCCCGGTCCAGTCAGCAAGGGAAGAGTCAGCAACCAGGGACGCACACAAGAGTCTCGGGTCAGGTACAGACACTCTTGTGGCATGTGTGGGCCATGGGGATAAGTGAGTGTTACATGCGACGAACCTGCGACAGGATTGCTTCCGCTGATTAGAGACTACGTGCATGAGGTTCAGATATCACCCGGGTGCACATATGGCGGCAAATGACAGTACAAGCCACACCTGCAAGCGGAGAATCGCATCTGGATAGAGTGGCGGCCAGAAGCGCGGCCAAGGGGGCACGATGCTTGGTCGGGCAACACCTCTTCAGACGGACTGCGGGGCGTCAGGGCGTTCGTTGGACCTTATCAAAGGAATCTGTTCCTGAACTTCCGGCTTGCCGATTCTCGGACCTCCCAGGACGAAAACAGGACGCTCGACACCCGACCTGTCCATCTTCCAAGCCCCACAACTTAAGGAGAAGCCGCGTCATCCCGCCAAAATCATGGGCTTTGGTGCGGATATTTGAAAGGTGCAGCCAGTGATGCCACGCACCCGCCCCCTCACTGATCCTCCCGCGCAGGCGTCCAAGCATCTCCGACGATGCCCTGGGCTACCCACCAAGGTCTTTCACAAAAAACCATGATGGCCCTCGTTCTTCAAAGCAAGACTTTCTGATTCGGCAGCTTCAAGATCCAGTGAGTGTTAGAACAATGGCAACTCAGTTTTGAACGAAATCCCAAGTAAAGCTGTGGCCCAACGCATCTGAGGGAAACCAGCTCCTGCATGAAACCAGCTCCTGCGTGAGCTATGTATGATGGAATAGCAGTCTGCAAGTGACATGAAGAGTACGTAGGCCGGCCACTGTGACGAATCGTCGAGGGCTGATGAGGGAGCATTTTGCAGAGCTCCCCGGGCGTGAGATCCCGGCTCCGCAGGCTGTGAGAGCATTACTGCTGGTCGTCCATATGGCAATGCCGAACATCGGGCTTCCAAGTCAAGAGCTGCGACCACGCAGGAGGCGTGGCCGTGGCCCATCTGCTGGGAAGGCTGCTGTTGCGATAGGCTCGCAAGGGGTCACGCGAAACATGCGGCGCCAAGATGGGCAGGTCGCAATGTGGCAGTCACTCCTTACATCCGCTTTGCAGTCATCACAATCGGTCAAGTGCAGAAGCCCGTCTAATCAACCAGGGAAGAGTCAGCAAACAAGCCTCCTACTGGTATTAAGAGTTCCGGGCTCAGGTACAGGCACTTGTCGCCGCATGTATGGGCCATGCATACACACGGGTGCTCCCGGGCGCTGCATGCGAAGAGATTCTGACAGATCTCCTTCCTCTTTTTCCGACTTTTCCGACACTTGTGTCGAAGAAGCCGGCTCGACCTCTTAGAGATTAGTTGCTGTTAGGGGTTTAGGTGCGTTTAGGGTTTAGGGTTTGGGGCTCGGATCTCGCTAGGCTGCACACGTGGCAGCAGATGACATTGCAAGCCGCACCGGCAACTGGAGAGTCGCAAGTGGAAAGAGTGACGGGCACAAGCGCAGCCAAGGGTGCAGGATGCTCGATCTGCTTTTGACTTGTGGGCGTCGTGCAGCAAGACCTCGTCAGGCGGACCGTGGCATGTCACGGCGTGCCGCTTGCAGGCTGCAGGAAGGCTGAGTGCTGGTTGGACCTGGGCAGGCGAATCTGCTTCGAAAGTTCTGGCTTGAAAATGCAAGGACCTCCCAGCAGAAGAACCGAACGGTCCATCTTCCAGGCCCGACCAGCAAGCATCGCGCCAGATGCAGCGGATCTCCACTGATCACGTTGAGGGTGCCGTCAGCTTCGTTCATAACAGCTGCTCATGCTCTGGATATGTAGCCAAGATCAACTCCAGGCTATCCTCAAACCGCCGGGATTTACATGATTTAGGACACCGGGCATAGGGTGAAGGCAGCTTTGGTCAAAGATGCGTTGCCCTCGCCCTTCGGAATCTCAATCTCGAGACAAGCACTCCATACGATTGCACACACAGCCCTGAGACCAGATCTCTCGAAACTCGGTACTTCACACCCCGCAAGCTTGCGGACCAAGACCAGGCTTCTCAGTCAGGGATACACCATGCGGCAAAGAGATTGAGCACCAAAACACGGAGCGCTGCAACTCGTTCTTCGTTTGCCAACGGCGG